ATCCGTCCTATGGGTGTGTCCGAATATCTCCGAGCAGGATTCTCGACAATGTTTTCTTTGGGTATGTGTGGGAAATTATTGACGTGCCATCCAGACGCTCATAGAAACAGAACTTAGAAGGATAAATTGAGAGGGTTGTGCCAGGGAGGGCATCTGATGTAAAATAAATTCCACATCAAAATCTCAAGGAAAAATCTCTGAATATCTCCAAGAAGGATTCTTGACAATGTTTTCTTTGGGTATTTGTGAGAAATTATTGACATTCCATCCAGACGATCATAGAAACAGAACATAAAACACAGTATTTAAGTTAAAATGTAAAATTGAGAGGGTTGCATCAGGGAGGGCATCTGAAGTAAAATAAATTCCACATCAAAATCTCAGGAAAAAAATCTCTGAATATCTCCAAGTAGGATTCTCGACAATGTTTTGCTGAACCAACCCAAGTTGCGATAGCAGACTGCATACACTATCATCCTTTGAACTTCCTTTGCCAAATACAAACTTCACATTTTACTTCACATACAAACATTCACATTCGCAAGTTCACCTTGCAGAAACGACAATGATCGTTGACAGACATGTTCACTCTCTGCTTTGTTTGCTGTTGTGCCGGCAATTACCTGGATACCACTGAGTGTTCCGGCGCATTACATACATCACGACCAAATAGCAACGATTGGTTAAATTAAAAAAGTACCCGCTTCCCATCGAGCAAATGAATCCTAATGCTGCGAGGTCAGATGGTTTCCACAAAGCGAAACCGGCTGATGAATCAGGCTAGTCAGGGAGGGCATCTGATATAAAATAAATGCTGCATCAAAATCTCAAAATAGCAAGCATGATCAATGCATAGAAATAATAATGTGCCATCATATTTTATATTTGAATATGAATGGTTAGAATTGGAATGTATGGATTTTAGAGTTAGAATTTGTACTTATTTACCCTATCTAAAAATGTACATTTGTAGTGATGTGATTGACACCATTGAGTTAACATGGTGACCTTTTCTGTATACTCGGAATAGGCTTTGTTGGTTATACATAGCTAATGTGCTCGCCTCCACGTTCCAAATAGGAAGGGCGTGCTTCCGGCTCCATTGACTCCGGCTCCAATTGACATTGTATTAAAAAAAAACGTCCCTATCTCTGTCTGTTTGGTCTCAAAATGTCCGTATTAATCCTCTCTACATGATCTCTACGTGGGTTTTTATTTTGCTATTTGGTCTGCAAAACAATTCCTAGAACTCGGCTCCAAATATCTGCAGGCGTCAATGAGCTTCTTTTGACTGGAGACGAATGCTATGGGCGATGTCACACTCCCTTAGTTCACTTCTTTTATTTTTATTTATTTCCACCCTACAAGGCTCATTTGCAAATAATTTAAATATATTTTGTTCCATTTGCTTTTATTGACAGTAATCTTAGTCATAAACAAATGTGGAAATGGGGTGTGTCTATCTCCAGTATGTGCATTTTAAAATCACATTGAAGAGTGGATCTTTAAACCCTAAGAGCATTTGAATCAATATGGGCGTGTCGCTCTGAGCTGCATCTGTCTCCGCATTGATCCAACAGACCACAGGAGGCCCAGTGCTGCAGAGCTCACACATGCTGAGTCATGGTTTAACATGGACTAAAGGCTTCTATACTGGGATATTCAGATTTAAACGAGCATCAAACAGCACTGTTAGTACTGCGTAGGACGTAGGCTTTTTAGGGGGTTGCAAGTAGTATATATAGTACCATATATTCTAACATTTCGGTAAATGTAAACAGATGCTGGAAAATATTGGGCACGCCTTAAAATCTGCAATGCTGCAACCAAACCAATAAATCTACAATGACATCAGATTATAAGAACTATTAATCTAAACCAGGATTTAACGCAGTGAAAATTAGGACTAAATCAGGACTAAATCTAAATTTTACTGGAACTAAATATTAGTAAAAATAAACTGAGAATAAACCAACAAAACACAGAACCGGACCAAACTAGAATTACTAAAGACTAAACCAGGACAATACTGGGACTAAACTAATATAATAGCAAAACTAAAAGCAGGATAATGCAAGGACTAAACTGGATTAAGCATAAACCAGGACTAAATTTATATAAACAGGCTGCACTAAACCAGGATTTAACACTGGAACTTTACTTGGACTATAAAATATTAGTAGATAAGCCACAACTAAACCATAAAGACTGAAAAAGACTTAACTAGGACTAAACCAGGATAGATTAAACCAGAGTAAACAAGCCTAAACCAAGACTAAATAAATCAACACTAAATAAATCCTGGTATTAAACAAGTTTGGGCAAAACAAGTGAAAAATACAGTAGGTCTAAACTAAACCAGGACTAAACCAGAATTTAACTGGTACTGTTAAATATTAGTAAACGTGGACCAGGACTAAGGGCGTGTCCGCATTGTGTCCTGGTTTGAGTCCGGATTTTAGTTCAGATGAAAGACCTGATTTGGTCTTTTTCTAGTCCTGGTTAATCCTGGCCTAGTATGGGATTAGTTCCGAAATCAGTCCCAGTTTAGATGTGGTTTATGTGTAGGCCTTGTATGAACACACCCTAAATCATGACCAACAAAATACTCTACAAAACCACCCTAGAATGACTCAACACTACAGTAAATCAGGACAATACTGCACCAAGATACTACAGTATAAATGTACACCAGTACTCAACAATGTATAAACCAGGGTCTAATCTAAAACAAAAGATTCAGTATAGCCAATACGACTCTGGCTATAGCTGACCTGCTTGTGTCACTGCACCACTTAAACCAGCAGCATCCACCCCCATGAGAGTGAATAATTGATGGATTTGACATAAGGCAGCAGAAAGACAAAGTGACCAGGATACAGCCTTCCCAGCAGACGCCTCAGGGTAAAGCTAACTAAGGTGGTACGGCTAATACTGCATTATCCCTGCACCTAATGTACTCCAGTTTTATTACAACGCCAATGGAAGAGACTGAGGGCGGAAGAGAGGGTGATATGCCGCAATAGACAAAGCTGCATGGTGTAGGATGTCTATTGTACTTCCTTTTAGACTCCATCGGATTACATAATATGGAGAAGCGCAAAATCTTATAGTCTTATATCAAATTTCCAGAAAGGATTTCATCTTATAAACTGCTTTCTGTAGTAGCATTTGCGGAATAGCTAAGCAAAATGTAAAAAAGCAACCGTAGTTATTGTACATTATTTTGTTCAGTTAAAAATATTTGCATACAAAAGGATGAAAGATGGTTTTATAGCCAAAACTAGAAGCTAAAAATGTGAACACACCTTTTTAACATTTGAAATCTACAAAGGACTAAGGTAGAAAAAAAAAAAAAAAAAAACATGTTGTATTTATATCTTAGAATTAGGGATCACTATAATGGCACTTTATAGCCTATCATTTCCTTGCCTATATATGTAAACTTAGTGTGCTTATCAGTAGTCAATGTTTTACTTTGCCAGATTGTAAAATAGAAAGATAAAAATGAAATTAAATACCAGCTTCAGCCTATAATATTTCTAGTAACTATAAATTCATATAACTTAGTTTGTTCAATCAGGATAAGGGTCTCCTCTGGGATGGACTCTAGTTTAGGATCTGCTGAAAATGACACATCCGCTTTGTGACAGGCCTGCTTCTCAACAGGGCCCTTTGTGTGTCATATCATATTACCCAGTGCATGGAGGGTAGGAGGAGTGACCCACATTTTAACAATATCATAGTGCACCAGTATTCAAAACTCCAGGGCCAAGTTGAGTGGAAATTCAGATTCAGAATAATAAAGTAACATTAGCAGCATTGGCGTACAACTTTGCTGTTTTGTTTACTATGTGAATGGCTGGCTACTGTGCGTGGATACAGGCATTTTCACTGTGCCTCAGTCAGCTCTAATCTGTAAAAAATGTTTGGCATGCGTATACCAGTGAAAAGACGGGATAAAGCCCGGTACACAAACATGCAAATCCACAACCTCCAGTGGGTCTGAGTTTAATCGTTATGGAGACAACCACTTTGCATTCGAAATAATAACCATAAGAATACAATGAAATTCAAAGCTGACTAAAAAGCCAAAAATGTGTTAAATATTTTTATATAACATAAAGCTATAAATCCTTGTATTATTATAAAACAGTAATCTATGCATGCAGGGCAGATGTCAGATGCCAAACATACAAGTGTTACACAATCTCCAGTGGGTAAATCTAATCTAAGTGCTTCACTTTTAATTTCTAGTAGTATTAATTACATTAAATATTAGATGTAATACAGTGTCAATACAGCAGCCTACAATGTGTGAAACCGTTACATGACTCTTAAAAACCCATTATTTTTTATCAGATAATAACTAAACGCAGAGGACAATAGAGTATCTTAAGCTCTCTTAAGCCTAGGACTAATAATGTAAAATAGTGAGGGAAGGGAATTTGGAACTAATCTGTCTGTAGTGATGTACTTTGCTGTAAACTTGGCACTAAAGCACATGACCGAATAAGTGGAGACTGCAGCCATTTCCCTGCATTGGTATGTATGAATGTACCGCTGCCAATGCTCCAACATCTGCTAAAGCGGACACTGCCGAGCCACGTGGAGCCGAGCAAATCCCCAATGTAAAAGAAATGTTGGTTTAAAAGCGATTAAGACATAATGTTTCCAAGTTTTTACAAAGCAAAGAAGCTCACATAGATCATAACGATACGCAATTGCGAAAACAGGCGAGGTAAAGTGACTCAGATTTCCTCTTCCCCGCCATCATGAAAAACTAGGCCAACGTCCGCAGATTACGGCAGTCACACGTTTCAGATGAGAGTGATTGGCGTTTGATTTGAACCAATGACAGGCAAAACATTTTACATTTGATTGGTCACTTTATGCGTCTGTCAAAAGTGGTTCCGAATATTGACCAATGGAAATGCGAGAAGAGTTGCTATGGGCGGGCCGAGCTGTCATATAAAATAGAACGCTCAGCCCCTCTGCACGCAGTTCATTGAAAACCAAAATCTCTCGTCCACGGTTCTATCCTACCTCCAGACAAAATGAGGGAAATTGTTCACCTTCAGGCTGGCCAGTGCGGTAATCAGATCGGCGCTAAGGTTGGTAATCCCCCATTTGTGATTTGTAGTCTTAGTTTTTTACTTTTATTCCGAAGTTTGTACATTTTAGCCCAAGAAGCCGGTGCTTTGTGTCTAGCCTCAAAGAAACCACACCCTGAATCTCATTCAGCCTTCTCAGGGCTAAATACGCAGTAAATTAATTAAAATCGAGAACTTCTATAGTATTTATGTATGTATTTGAGTGATAAGAATTTAATAGTATTACATTTTAAATGAGAAATTGAATTTAATGCTTTGATTAAATTTTGCTTTGATAGCGTAACCGTTAGGAGTAACGGTATCACCGGCTGTCTATTGAATATTATAGCCGTTAAAACGTTTAATACGGTTTGTCGAATGCCAAGCGATTCTGTGCTAAACAGTGACTGCCTCTCGTAGAGGCTTTTCGGTCTTTAGTCCCGCTCTGAGCCCACAGGCCTGGTGTGAGGCCGTGGTCAGAGCGCGGCCGCCGGCTGCTCTGCTGCAGTCTGCGCAGTGGGCGGTTTTGGCGGTTTGTGACGTAACGACGGCTTTCAAATTTCTCAGCGCAGAGTCTCAGCCAATCACAGCTCAGGCCACCCCCCTTTCCGGAGCACGAGCGCGGGAAAGCGTTTGAAAATCACATGTCACATAATCCCCTGAAAGAAAAACATGTTTTTAGAATACTGTATGCTTTATTTGTGCAGTTCTGGGAGGTGATCAGTGACGAGCATGGCATTGACCCAACTGGAACATACCATGGAGACAGCGACCTGCAGTTAGACAGGATCAATGTCTACTACAATGAAGCCTCTGGTAAATTAATGCATTTTAATTTCTTTAATATTAAATTTTACACCAAATTCTGCATAACTGGTTATGTGTTAGTGTCTTTTTATGGTAATGTGGGAATATTTAATGTATACTTAATCACACTGCATGTTTCTACAGGTGGCAAATATGTGCCCCGTGCTGTGCTTGTGGATCTGGAGCCAGGGACCATGGACTCTGTGAGGTCTGGACCCTTCGGCCAGGTCTTCAGGCCTGATAACTTTGTCTTTGGTAAGCATGCACTTCTGTAAATCGAATTATACTGTGTGCCCAAGTGCAGCCTCTAATTAAATTTGTTAAATTCCAGGTCAGAGTGGAGCTGGAAACAACTGGGCTAAGGGCCATTACACAGAGGGAGCAGAGCTGGTGGACTCAGTTTTGGATGTAGTGAGGAAGGAGGCAGAAAGCTGTGATTGTCTGCAAGGCTTCCAGCTCACACACTCTTTGGGAGGAGGCACAGGCTCTGGTATGGGCACACTGCTTATCAGTAAAATCCGTGAAGAGTATCCTGACCGTATCATGAACACCTTCAGCGTGGTGCCTTCTCCCAAAGTGTCAGACACTGTCGTAGAGCCCTACAACGCCACACTATCAGTGCACCAGCTGGTAGAGAACACAGATGAGACATACTGCATCGACAACGAGGCTCTGTACGACATCTGCTTCCGCACCCTTAAACTCACCACACCTTCCTACGGCGACCTCAACCACCTGGTGTCCGCCACCATGAGCGGCGTCACCACCTGCCTCAGGTTCCCCGGACAGCTCAACGCTGACCTGCGTAAACTGGCAGTCAACATGGTTCCCTTCCCCCGTCTGCACTTCTTCATGCCTGGCTTCGCCCCCCTCACCAGCAGAGGCAGCCAGCAGTACAGGTCCCTCACTGTCCCTGAGCTCACACAGCAGATGTTCGACGCCAAAAACATGATGGCCGCCTGCGACCCTCGCCACGGCCGTTACCTCACAGTGGCCGCCATCTTCAGAGGCCGCATGTCCATGAAGGAGGTGGACGAGCAGATGCTTAATGTGCAGAACAAGAACAGCAGCTACTTTGTCGAATGGATCCCCAACAACGTGAAGACCGCTGTGTGCGACATTCCTCCCCGTGGCCTCAAGATGGCTGCCACCTTCATCGGCAACAGCACAGCCATCCAAGAGCTGTTCAAGCGCATCTCCGAGCAGTTCACAGCCATGTTCAGGCGTAAGGCTTTCCTGCACTGGTACACAGGCGAAGGCATGGATGAGATGGAGTTCACCGAGGCAGAGAGCAACATGAACGACCTGGTTTCAGAATACCAGCAGTATCAGGATGCCACTGCTGAGGAGGAGGGAGAGTTCGAGGATGAAGGAGATGAGGAGATTGCATAAATTCTCACTGTTAAATCTTTTCCACACTGAAGTTGGCCAAATTTCTGTCTAAAATTTTCAGTAAAATGTGACGTTCCAAGCTTTCCAGTTTTCAATGTTGTCTGTTCATGCTGTTAATAAAAGTTCTTCTGCATATTGTTTTTGGAATCCCGTCTTTATATTCACTTTGTTTACATTAAAGTGTAGCTGACAGATTGTACAGTCTCAATCATTCAAAAGCAGCCATTTAGCCAAATTGTAAACATTACTGATTTTTACAGAAGTATCCACATGAACTTGCTCACACTGAAACCTCAAAGAAATAAAACAAACTTAAGCATGAAACTGCTAAATTAAAGTGCTATACTACATATGTCCGCTAGGTGTCGGTCTTGCCAGTCGTTTCCATAAGAAATATGTGAGGATGCTAACGGCTAATGCTAACAGGGTCCAGCAGCACACCGCCTTCAACCTGCTCTCCAGACCCGGCTTCTTCCCAAATCGACTCACGAAACCATCCTGCGAAGACAAAGATGAAAGAATACGTTTATCCTTGTGCCTTATCATAGATTTTAGGCACTACAAGTAAGTTAAAGTTCAACCAAAATCATAACACGTGCATTTATTTTCATCCCAAGCACGGCATCAATCACGCAAAATCAAGATTGAGTTGTCTGATCTGTTTATTTTAAATGGCGATGTCAATCTCCTGGACAAATCCAATAATTATTTGTCCATTAGCTAGTGTGACAAGTAAATCTTATCCAAAACTATTAAATGTGATGTAATTTATTAGGCTACCCCAATTTTCTTTGTCTTAATTAAATCGGATTAGCCTACCAAACCTTTTCTCTAATCCACTACTGAGTACTACAAAAAATAAATAAATAAAAAATCAGACTCACATTGAGCTCCCAAGTGACAAAAATAAAAGTAAGTAGTAATAAAGTAATCAAAACAGCTATTGAAGTTAGAAAACATAAATATATTAGACCCTACTACTGAAGTGGGCCTACTGTTCTTGATTTGTACTTGCTCGAGACTTTTTTTTTTGTAAAATTTGACATAAATCTTGACACAAAAGTATGGCGATCTTAACAAGATACACGAAACACCTGTAAAGTCTTACTTTAAACATTATTCAAGTATAACAAGTACAACAAGTACAGTAGCCAGTAACTTCAAGGTTACTAGTAAATGTAGGCCAATTGAGGTTCACTCGGCTTTTTAGTTGTCTATTTTTGTTCTTGCAACTTCTCTCCTTTTTATAACCTAATTTTATCAACATTCCAGGCCAGTGGTTCTCAACCTGCGGCGCATGTTCCACTGGTAGTATGTGAGCTCCCTCTGGTGGTATGTGGTATTCTCCTTGTTAAGAACTTCAGTAGCAAAACTGTCCTATTTAAGCTCATGTTAACTCTAATTTAGACTTAGAATAGTCCTGTTTTCCCCTTGTTTTGATCTGGTAGGAGGTTAGTTATTTCCTGGTACTGCTTTTGTTTTGCCTATGTATTAGTGTCTAGAGACCAAAAAAATCTCATTGAATCAAAAATACATTTTAGCTCCTGCCATTTGTATGAAATATTATTGGCCTGTAGAATGCTGTGATGATAAGGATGGGACAAAATTGTGAGTCAAAATTGCTATAAGGTTGTGCACACATGCTGAAAATGATCTTGTGAGATTTTTTTCCCCATGCTTTTACGTTTTGATTGGATATAAAATTGAGTAAAGAACTGACGAGTTACATTTTTAAAGAAATTGTAGTGACAAAAAGCACTACTCCAATAAAAGCAGGAATATTAAATAACTTAAACTGAAAATAGTGAGGCTAAAATTGGATATAAAAACTGAATTGCATTTATTTATTATAAAGAATGTCAAAATCTTTTCTTGTCTCGTTCTTATAGATCCAGCCTCATGTCTCATCTCGTTTTGTGGAAATTCTATCTTATTCCACCCCCACATGATGACCTCTGAAACCAAGTCGTATGTGAAAACTTTGAGAAGCATCACCACATCATTCAAGTAGATTTTGCTGTGTCCCTGTCTTCTTCTCACCCATCCTCCTTTGTCTCGTATCTCCGGGCAGATGACCCTCTCCACGTAGGCCCCCACGCTGGCCTTCAGCTGTGGAAGGACACGCTCCATCCCACTCTCATGGCAGTGCTGCGCCATCTGCCCTGCCAAAACATACACGGACAGCACCGCGCTCCAAGCCAGATCCCTCCGCCTCCCCCCCGGTGTAGGGGGGAAAAAATGCTGGTCCAGGATACTCATCAGCGTGGGGATGGCTGTCTCCTCTTTGACGTCTTTGAAAACCCGGGGCCAGCGTCGGAAGAAAATGGGGAATCTTATGAGAAGTTCGTCCCCCGCATGACGTAAAGCTGCTGTGCATTTTGTGGGGGCAGGTCCCATGGTGCTGTCTGCCCCCCCGGAGGTAACATAGTCTATGTAGTCATGGGCCATCAGGTGGGCTTCTCTCACCTGCCAGGGAGGTCACATTGAAAGTTAACTTCAACGTTAATGTATTTCACAAAACATGACATCTTTTTGCATCTATTCTATCTATTTATATTTATATCTATATCTATTAACAGAGGTGGGTGGAGGAACCAAAAATTTTACTCAAGTGAAACTTCCAAAAATACTATTACTCTTTTACTCAAGTAGAAGTAGAAGTCCAAAGACGAGACCACAAAAACTCAAGTAAAAGTGCTGTTAAACTATAAAATATATGTAATATAAATTTAAGTAAAAGTAAAGTGTTTGACTCTAACCCCAGAAGTACAATTTTAAATTTTATTGCAAGTTATTCAGTTTGCTTACTCTAGTATATGTAATTGTAGTCACATAAAGCAAATGGTAAACCTTTTTTAATAAATTAATAATAAAGACATTAATTAATTAAATAAATGTTTTAATCTTAGTTGTTTAAATATGACCTTAACCCCCCATGAATGATGTTTTACTTTAAAAAGTCAAATTAATATGATTATTATTATTGCACATTAACTGTTGAAATGATTCTACTGTGAAATATACATGTATATATCATAGTAATAATGAACCATTCTCATTCTCACCAGAGGATCGGGGCTGGACAGACCCTCTGTGGGGTCGGGAGCATCAGACTGACACATGGCTCTGTGCCCCTCACTGTCTCCAGCTCTGTGCCTGTACGCTCATTTTAATGAGTTATCTAGGAAAAGACAGAAGAAAGATCATCGTTAGACTTGTACCAGGAGAACTGTGGAAGTTATTATACTTATGGATTTGCTTGACATTATTCTTTTGACTTTTAAAATCCTTTCAACAGGTCAAGTCAATGAAAGCAAATAATAATTGCACAAAAAGGCAACAACAGAGCTAAAATAGTTGCTGTTAATTTTGTTGCTAATTGTGAGCATGGCGTTAGTAGATGTGAGTGATGAGAGTGTGCAGAGATGAGAGGATCAGATGGAGGCAGGTCATGACCCCTGAAACAAAACACCCACAAAGAAACATACGTACATTATTTTGGTAGCAGTCATATATTTTCATTAGTTTGAGTTAGTTTGGATGTGACTTCATAAAGAAGTAATGCAAGATGGCATATATGTTAATTATATCATTGCATTACTTTATAACATTTGCATTTGACTGGTCTACCCTTGGACTTGGCATTGGTGCCCTACTGTCCTGCCTGGGGAATCCTGAGAAGAGGGTCCATCTTTACTATACAACTGAAGCACCCAGCTACTATTTGTTTTTCAGATTCTGAATCAATACAGCTTTGCACAATGTGGATCTTTATATCCTTAATGCTTAGACTTAGACAAACTTTATTGATCTACAAGCGAAATTCCTTAGACACAGTAGCTCACACATCACAATATAATAACAAAGAGAAAAAATATAGATGTAAATAATACATTTATTATGGTGTCAAATAAGGCATAATTATATAATTTTATATGTACAACCTTCTCAATTGACTTTATTTTAGTATCTTATTATATATTTTTCATTAGAATTATGTTATAGCACAGTATAGAATAAAAAACTCCTGTGGAAGAGTGCAACACCGATTAATAAAATTATGTCCTTTTAAGTAGAGAAGATTAGGTTATTCCAAGAAAGGTATCATAAAATTTTTTTTAGAAAGTGGCAGCCATTTATTTTTTAAAACTGTCTAAGCCAACACTAACACCCATCCCACCCTTTCTTTTTACTATTTTAAAAAATATTATTATTATTAGTAGTAGTAGTAATAGTCGTAGTAGTAGGAACAGTAGTATATTTAATATTATTATATTGTGTGATGCTATTCGTATTTTTCCGTATTTACTCAAGGTGTGGGTGTTTTCTTTTTTTTCTTGCATAAAAATGAAAAAAGTGTGTATACATTTGCTGACTAAATGTCAGTTCTATATCTGTTTACACATCACTAAAAAATATACGAAATCAGAAGAGTGCAACACCACAGGCTACTTTTTTACATTTCTTTTTTTTTTTATGGTTTCGGTTACAGCCTTAAAGAACCAGCGCTACCAGCACCAGTCTCCCAATCACTGCTTGAGAACCACAATTTTGCAGTGCACGAAACACGAGCTGATGAAATGACCGCCCAGGCCAATAATAGCAAGGTTAGTGAATCAAACTCACCGTTAATTTCCTGCAGGTGAAGTGGTCAGTTTTGTCCGAATGTGCGAGTGTCAGCTTGGGTCAGCGCGTCCCCACACCAAAACACTAAAAATAGGCCTCCTGCTCACAATCGTAGGCAGTCTGTGTGCAAGCTGACAGATCAACACAAGCGCGTGGGCTAAAAAAAGAGGCGGACACAGGAGCAGTTAGTGTTACAGTCATAGGGCAGTGGTCAGAGGTAGGAAGGTGGTAATGGAACCAAATACTAGACTTAACGGTGCATGCATTGCATAACTTTTCTGGTGGAGTGACTGTCAAATGCTTTTCTTCATGGAGTCTTTGGAATGTTTTATAGTGTGGTATTAAACCTTTCTCTCATCATGGAGACCAAACCAGACAAAGTTACAGGTCAGCTCTATGGAGAGATGACCCCGCTCACAGTCAGAATGCCTGTCTAGGATTTTTTGAGTCTCAAAACCACCTGTACCTGAATAACTGTAAGGTAAAACTTTTTAATGTCATACTGTGGAACATTCCAGGTAGAGCAGTTACATATCCAGAGAAATAAACAGGTGATTGACCCCCAACCAAAAACTTACACAGTGCATCATTAAGTAAAAGTTGTTTTCCGAAAAGACAGCTTTCATTACATTCAGATAGGAGACATTCATGCAGCAATGTGATATGCTTCTTATTCCGGTATTTAGAAACAGTTCAAATACCAATGCTCCTTACAGTGAAGAGACAAAAAGTAGTTGTTACTGTTTAAAGGTCCTCTTGCGAGTTTTTAGAATGTTGTTCCCTCATCACAAACATACCTGCAATTACGTTTTGTTTCATTCACACTTATTTGAGTAATCTTTTATTTTTAGTCTGTCTACATCCCTATAGCTCAAAATGCTCTGTTCCACCTTGTGAAAGTATTGTTCATAGAATACAGTATTGATACTTTGCAGCTGATATCAACATTTCCAGGAAGTGTGATGCTAAAGCACTACTCTGTCTGTAGCACTGTTACTCAAGTTAGACTTTAATCTGAGTTTTATTTGATACACAGGCAACAACAGGCAATTTCATTTGTGCTCCTAAACAAGCCTCTTACAAAATTACAATTTTTCAGTTACTTACAATGACCATTTTAGTTGAAAATCAAACTCTTAAACGGGACCGTGAACTCTCAATGATCACGGACTCCTGAAAATACAATATGTTTTTAAAATCTGTTTTATATATTTTTTTCAGAGTTTTCAAGCAGTCTTAAATCTTTTTTGGCAGGATTTGCAAATGTGTACATTGTGTCGCCATGGTAACTCCTAAACATTTCACCATTAGCAATACATGTAGAACACAGTGAAGTAAATCAGACAGTACAGTTTAATGACACTTGCTTACCACACGGGGGCAGTAGTGTACAACCAAAGTCTCACTTCCTCTTATTTCCTATTATATAACTATTGTGTGGCTGTTATGCCTGCATGCACTTAAGTATGGACACATTTATAGTTATTCAAGTCTTAATATAGACACAATTGCTCAGGCTGGAATTACACGAGCTGCAAGTGTAGCTGGGAAGTACAGAGATTAGATTAGAAAATAATAGTTGTTCATTCCCGTTAGTGACTTATAAATAATGCATCACCAAGTCAGTGGTACTTGTAATCCATATGACACAATTGTCTAGTTCCTGGACACTGTGACAGATTTTGTCTTAGCAAACTAGAATTTTCAGTGGCCACTTTTTAGGCTGAAATGCTATAAGTGTAATGTTAAATTCTGAATATTAGCATGCTTTTTTCTTGTCATGTTTGTTTATTTTCTGTATATTTTAATAGCTTTTAAAATATGTACAATACAGCATAATGCTACGCCTATATCATTCGAAAGGTAAATTTAATTCTATTGCGTAACATGGTTAGTTGGCTATTATGGGTTAAGAAGGACAAATATTTAAACAAATAAAACCACCATTTGATAGGTGGATTAGTGGTCAAATCAAACTTAAAGGTGCATTGTGTAACTTTTCTGATGGAAGGCCCGAGTCCGACAAATGCTTTTCTCTATGGAGATGTCATTGCTTTGTCTGGAATGTTTCACAGTATGGCATTAAACCATTTTATTGTCATGGTGAGCAAACAAAACTAAGTAACAGGTCAGATCTGTGGAGAGGCGACCCCGTTCACACTCAGAATGTCTGTTTTTCTAGGTATTTTTGAGCTATAAAACCACCTGTAATTGAATAAATGTAAGGTAGAGCAATGATATAGCCATAGAAACAAGCAGGTGACGGATCCCCAACCAAAAATTTGCATAGTGCATCTTTAAATTTTGCTACTGTTACCACCCCTTAGTGAAAATAGGTTAAGTTGTGTGCCCAATAACCAGAAAGTTTATGGTTTTATCCTTTTCACACTTGTGGATAGTGGAATGGCATATGGGTGTTAATCTTTTAATCTGTCATTTGAATATAGCTGCTAATTTATTTTATTTATTTAACCTTTATTTTACCAGGCAAAACATTAAGAACAAATTCTTATTTACAATGTTGGCCTAATATGACTGTCATAAATGTATGTATAAATGTAGACTTTTTTGGTATTCTCAGGTGGAGTTGAGATCAGATGAATCAAATCTAGGCCTCCTTCAAACCCACTGATCTGCGGCTGGTCTTGTTGCGGTGGTTGTCCTTGGACCAATGAAAGGGGGGTGCCAGTGAGCAAAATAGTAAACTAAAAGGTAAGTTCTTGTTTTCGTTTGGTCCTTTGCTTTAAAAATACAATGTCACCGATTTAATAACCAGTGTGAAGACATTTTAAACACTTTGCTGTGGTCCAAAGTTATTCCTCACTTACCTTTTGCTTTCTGAGCATCCTGATTATTCCCCGCCGATGAGTTAAGAGCTTTTCACAACTTTCAGACAAGCTAGAGGGGATCATTCTTGTCACCATAACGTTAACAACTAGCATGCTAACAGCACCATTCCTGATTAACGGACATTAAAAGGCTTTCTAAGTTGATACAGACAGTAGCTCAGTTGGTAGATCTGAATGTTGGCGGTTCGAATCCCGCTCTCGACATAAACATTATTGGTTGAACGGTCAGATCCCACAGGTTGGCGGCGCGATTCCAGCTCTCACAGATGAATGCTGTCGTTGTGTCCTTGGGCAAGACCTTTAACCCACTTTGCCCCCACTGTCTGCGTACACTGGTGTGTGAATGTGTGTGAGAATGGGTGAGAGTTTCCTTGTTGTAAAGCGCTCTGAGTGCCTTGAACGTTGAAAGGCGCTATATAAAAAAAACTTTTACCATTCACCATTTACACTGCTGATACAGAATATTGTACTGAAGCAAGACAATTTTTACTGTATTACTTAAAAAAATGGGTACATCCCCTTTAAAGTTTGGTAATGTAGATATCGTCCACGCAGGAGATGGTTGAATGACAGACAGTATAGTATATCACATGGAAACAATGGTGCCAATCTTATGCCATGTGGCGGTTTACATATTTATGGCAGTCAATTTAGCTATAAAATCTGGTTTCAAGCATAACACCACATGTTTCCCGTGAATTTATAAAATGAAACATGTTGTCAATGCGCACAAATTAGCGCTCCCTGTACAGCCATCACTCATCTCCCCTCTCTAAACTAAATATATATGTAAATGCAATCGTGAAGAGCCCCTCTAATTAGATCCAAGTAAATGTATTTAAATTGTGCATAAAACCCGCGAGATCTGGCGTGGATTAGCACCTGGGCACGCTCGGGTAAACCTACATTGTCCTTTAAGTATAGCTTTTATGAAATCGCTTTATGCCTCACATGGGGGGCCATTGAAAAGCGACGTGTGTGTGTGTGTGTGTGGCGTTTATGTCGGTTGTTAATAATGCACTGATTTACAGCGTGGAGGAGGCATGATCAAGTGATAGCATTAGAGGCTCTGTGTTCTCTGGCCATCTGCTGTGACATACATTGAGTGCGTTTCAAAGGGAGGGAAGATATCGCTAACCATCCAGAAATATAACCCACCCCCATTCAGTGCCACACAAGAGCCGGAGGAATGACTGGGGAGGGCGGCCTGTCTCGGGAGAAGCAAGCAAGCACATGCACGGACGCTTGTATAATGTTTAGCTAATTAATTGATATATGTTAATGTGCAAAGGTGGAATGTAAAAAAAAAAAAAAGAGAGATGTTTTTATTACTAAGTGGAAGACTAAAGTTGTAGTAGCATGACCCTCTTAGTGTAACTTGAAGATTTCTGACTGCCCCTTGATCCCTGTTCCAAAGGTCATTCTGCCTTTGTGTCCTTGGGCAAGACACTTTAGCTCACATTGGCTCTAGTTCTCATGGATTTGGTATATGAATTTTGTGGTATAGATAGGTGCTTGCACTTTTGATAGTATTGCCATCAGCCCTGAATCTTCAACATAGGCCAATATGTTGTTTCAGATAAAAACCTGACTAAAGGAGAGACGCAAGTTAAAAGGTGCACTGTGTAACTTTTTGGTTGAGGTGCCATCACCTTCTTGTTTCTATGGAATGTTTCACAGTATTACCACAGACATTAAACAGCTCTACCTTATATTTTTTCAATTACAGGTGGTTTTATAGCTCACAAATACCTAGAGAAACAGGTGTTATGACTCTGAGCGGGGTTGCCTGTGCACAAATCTGACCTGTAACTTGGTTTGGTTTGGTCTCCGTGAAGATAGAAATACAAATCAATTTCAGGCAAATCAATAGCATGTGCATGCAGAAAAGCATCTGACGGACACTCCACAAGAAAAGTTACACAATGCTTTAATGCATTGCTCAAAATATGACCTCTTGCCGATGAGTTTGCACTGAAATGAGGTTGTGGATAAGTTTGTTGTAGTTTTAAATCATGTAAGTTGAGTACAAATGATCAAAATTGGCCCTTTGTTGTCATGTGTTTGCCGCTTTGCCCCTGAGTTACTAACTTGAAAGGCAAAGCAAAATTAGCATTTGATTTTTTACAGTGGCAAGTAATATTGTTTTGAGTACTTGCACTTGAGTAGCTTACTTGAGTTAGGATTGTGAGTTTTGGGAAAAACACAAATGTAGTGCACTTCAGAGTAAGTATAAATAATTGTTTTCTCAATTATATCATTTTTATAAACACTGCATGTAATAATTGTAATTTATTTGATTAATTGCTCCACTCTAACAAGCAAAATTCATTGGTTTTCTAGTGCTACTCCCTTCTTTATTTTCCAATTCATCCAAAATATTCATATCTATAGACAGGGAGAGAAAGTAGAAAAGAAAGACTTTAATTGGTGATATTACAGTTAGCATAAATAATAATTTAAAAAAAATTACCGAACAACCTCTGTGGTGATACACAATTGCTAACCACTCTGAAAGCATTCACCTCTGCATCAGCCTTGCTCTCTTCTCTGTATTTTTACTGCCAACTTGGGTGTAAAACAGAAGTTCAAAATATAAATATGACTGTGATAACCATCTTCAACTTATCATTTAGCTTGTCACACATATGCAAAATGTACACAATCTTCAGGGCATAAGAAGAGGAAGGAACTGAAATGTTGAGGGTAGATAGTGTGTTTAGGTACAATACAATTCATATCACACGTACAAGGAAAGTACGGTCTAAATCAGTCCGGTATATCTAGTTTATTTACATATGGGGCAAGAGGAACTATATCAGGGCAGAACGAGGTGCTACAAAACACGAATACGCACAAGGAAGTCAAAGGTCGTCAGTGCCACCACTGAGTGACAAGAGAACATAGGCCTGGTACTTGTAGACTTGGCAGGCGGATACTTTTGTGACTTGGACTCCTTATCTGAGTGTAAAAGTGCATTTCATTTTTAAACTCACAATTTGCTATTATATTTTCTGAAGAAATAAGAGTAGTCGAGGGCGGGGAAGGTCAAGTGTAGAAGTAGTAGTTGTAATTGCCTTAGTGTTAATAGTAGCAATACTGACAGAAGGTGCAGTGAGTAGTGGCAGTAGTAGTAGGATAAGCAGCGCAGGAGTTGTGAAAGTAGTAGCTGTAGTAGGACTAATTAGATGTAGTAGTTGCAGTTGTGATTGTTAGAGGGACTACTTGCAAAGAACAGTGAGCAGACTACAGTTTAGATGACTTTTATGCCATACTGTGGAAGATTATAGCCACTGGAAAACCATTTTCATAGAGAC